TTCACGAACTCCTCCATCACCACAAATCTTTGCACCTGTTCTTTCGGCTCGTTATTTCGCTGTCCTGACTCACCCAACCAACTCTGACTCACCCAACCAGACGTCCCACCCAACCAACCAGACGTCCCACCCACCCAACCAGCCAACCCTGACTATTCATGTCAACTCCTCACTCACGCCCAGCTACACACCACGCCCGACTGCACGCACCCGGTAAACGACAAAGCGACGACGGCAACCTGCCGTTCGTTGACTAGCTGCCATCGTTGGCTGGTCTTGGTGCCAGCAGGACAGGTTAAACGAGCTCTGCAGGAGGAGGCTGCGCCGCAAGAGGAGACTGCGCTGCAGGAGGAGACTGCGCTGCAGGAGGAGACTGCGCTGCAGGAGGAGGCTGCGCTGCAGGAGGAGACTGCGCAACAGGAGGAGACTGTGCCAAAGGGGGAGTGTCAGCGGGAGGTTGAGAAGGCGGCACGCTGGGTGCTGCATCGCCACCTTTCCACGGCGGCATGCCCTTGAACTTGGGCTTCCCGAGCGACGGGGGTCCCGCCAGTGGACTACGTGGTTTACCCTTGGCTGCCTTCGGCGTTTTGAACTTGCCCGCCGGACTCGCAGACTTCGAACCGGGTGCCGGACCTTTACCTTTCATGCCCGGACCTTTCTTCCCAAAGTCTTTCATGGAACTCTTCAGCGGCTTGCCCACAGCGCTCTTGGGCACAGCGCTTTTGTACGATTTGATCATAGCACTCTTGGGCGATTTCTTCAACGCACTCTTCGGCGCTTTACCCATGGCACTCTTTGGCGATTTCTTCAAAGCACTCTTGGGCGACTTGGCCGGTTTGGTCTTCGGTCCCTTGCCCTTCTGTGGCACCCCGCCTTTGCCCCGACCAGTGGTGGTCAAGATGGAGCTAATGTTGCCTTTGGGAGGTCGTTTCCCGCCAGGACCCGCACGAGGCCCTCTGGAGATCTTTCTAACGGCGCTGTCGCTGCTTGAACTGTCACTGCGGCGTTTTCGGCTGCTTCCCCCCTTTGCCCCTGCCCTTCCCCGCTCGGTCCTTCCCCGCTCGGTCCTTCCCCCGTCACTCATCTCTCTGGTAAAGCTGACGTTGGCGCTCTCACGTCCGGAGCTTAGCCTTGCCATGCGCTGTGTTGAATCTTGGAAAACTTCTAAGTCGGGCGAACTGAGCAATGCCTTGATGCGACTGGAGGTTCGTCTTACTCGGCTGGCGAGTGATTCGGCGGGCAGTGTGCGCGGCAACGGTTGCGGGTCGGGGTCTAACAGATTTTCGGGTGCAGCGAAGACGCCGGTGTGTTCGCTGTACTTGACGACAGGTGGCATGTCTGACACCTGGGTAGCAGCGGAGCCCCGTGAGATGCGAAGTTGCTCCAGTGCACTACACACTTTCTTCAGCTTGGTTGCTATTAACTTTGCGTCCAACTCTGAAATGTTATGATTGTCTCGCAGATCCAACACCTTCAACGTACTCGGCCGGTATGCCACATTCGGGTGCACACGACGCACGAACCGGTACGGTGGTTTGGCATCCACCAACGCAGAATCCTCTACCGGTCGTGGCATGATCGCCTTCACCTGGTCCAACAACGATGTCACCTTCTGCAACTGCTCCTTATGCCGACTCCCGCGCCCGGATTGTCGTCCGCGGGAATCGCGCCCGCGACGTGACTCGCGCCGCGACCCACGGAAGGAACCCGCCCCCCGTAACGACCCCGAACCGCGAAGCGACCCACTCAACTTACCGCCACGAATCGCCGATCGTAACTCCGGCTGCGCGTTCTCCGACCCCTGCGATGACTCCTCGTCAAACGACCGAGAAGATGCTGAGGAAGAAATGGACGACGAACCGGACGAGGAGGAAGAGGATGCGGACCCGGAGGAAGACCGGGATGAGGAACGGGAGGAAGACCGGGATGAGGAACTGGATGAAGAGTGGGACTCGGAGGAGCCGCCGGCCCCGGACTCATCTGAAGAGGAGACGCCAGGCGTGCCGTGCGCGAAACTTACCGCGCGGCCTGCCGAGTCCCGGCGTCGGGACTCGGGCCCACGACTTCGGCTGGAGCTGGTTGAGCCGCGGAGGCGGCCTGAGCCAGAGCCGCGAGTAAGTTCGAGCGCAGTGGAGCCTTCGCTCGCGAAGGAAAGCGAGGCCGCAGAGTGGCTGCGCATGGGGTCTGCGAGTTCCAGACTGGCGCCATGCAGCGCCGCCTGCAGGAACTTCTGTGAAGTCGCGCCACCGCGAGCCTTTTGCGCGACAGTGGCGGGTAGCGGTTGACCGGTGGGAGAGCCGAGGACACCCAAGTCGCGACCCCGTGGAGAAGGTGTTCTGCCCGGTCGTGGGGAGCCAGGTCTGTTAAGCGACCTAGGTGACCCCGGCGGTAGCTTAAAGCCAGGGCTCGGCGGGGACTCCGAAGGTGGCCCCGAAGATGATTCATGGCCTGGCATTCCGGTTCCGGGACCAGTTATTGGGGCTAGGGTGCGAAGAGACTTGGGTTGTGCATTGATGTCCCCGCTGTCAGATCCTGGTTGTAGTACGTGGCCGAGAGAGACTCTGTTTTTCACACTTGGGTCGTCCCCCATGGCGCCAGGTCGTCCCTCACCAAGCGTTCTACCGCGTTCCGATAAAGAGGAGGAAGATGAGGAGTCGCTGAAGCGAGCCCTGACTCTCGGCAACTCCGTCTTCCTGTGGGGGGTTTCCACTCCAAAGGCTTGAGCAATCCTTAGCTCGTTTGCCAGCTGATTTGCCGTTATCGGTTTCCTTGTGGGAGAACGTCTCACCTTACCCAACTTCTTTAACTTGCTCTTTAACTTACTAGGAGGCATCATCATCTCATCCAAACCTTTAAGCAATTGCTTCACAAATAACGGACCAAGACCGTTGTACCTAACACTAAGTACCTCTAATGAAGATAATCGAATCAGTGTCAAAATAACTTGAGCTAATCTTGGAGAATCCATTATCAAATTACAATCCATTATCAGTACTTTCAATTGTAAATTTAGGGCAATGGTTATCAACGACTCCTTTAATAAAGAGCTATCCAATGAAATCCTGTTCACACTAAGATCCAATTTACACGCACGAAAATCGTAACGAGACAACAGCAAACCCAACTCCACTAAATGCTCAGAATTGAACCCAACATTAACCAGATATAAAGCCTCAATTTTTCCTATCTCATCCTCTCTATTCCATTGATCCTTCATATATTCTTCCATTAAATATGAACTATAAACACATCCTGAAAAATCCCAAATGCGATTGGAATCCGGTTGCTCATGTTCATAACCCATCTGAACATTGGTTGTACCATTATACAATTCTAAATAAACTAATCCTGGTAATTTATAAGGGGGATAAACACCATTTTGTAAATCTGCAATATCTGATCTAGTAATTCTTCGAGTTAACCTTTCATAATTATCCTGACGCATCTCCTGAACATTGCGTGGCAACTTCTTGTCTAATAATCGAGCTCTATTGCTTCGACTTTCTAAAAATTGCGCGAATTTCCTTTCTCGCAAACGTGTGCGCGCGCGTTTTCGTTGTTTGGTATTTTCATCGACAATTGATTTCCATTTATCCATCATATATTTACGTTTAGAATTAATTTCGTCGTCAGTTACTTGTAATTTTTCATTTTGTAATTTGACAAATTCCCTCTCGCAAGTAAGATATTTAGAGTGGTTTGGGAATCCAAGTTGTAATACAGATGATTTAAACCAAGGAATAGCTTCAAGGCAATCGTTGGGAAAGTTATCAGGTAGTTTAACATCATAGAGAGCCACTAGACAAAGAAGGGGTGCTTTTAGCCAGAGAATTCTTAGTAATACTTTCATAACAATATCATTAATTTGAGGGTTAAGATTGAGAATAAGTTGTCGAATAAACCATTGTTTAGATACGCCACCGATTTTTATATTCATGTTAGTTCGAAGTTTAATATATCCAGTTTGTGATTTATGGCTAATAATAATACCAGATTCTCCGATATATAGAGCGTCCTCAATTTCATGGCTTGCTCTTTTAGAAGCAAGCATATGGCATGTATGATACCAGTGGGTTGAATTGAGTTCGCATCCTGAGAGGTTGATAATTTCAAGTGATGTTTCTGAAATGAGTTCTGATAGGAATAGTGCGACATCCATGACGGGCAGATTATTCAGTGCAGGTGTATGGGCAATGGATAGATGTCTGATTTGTAGTAGTTTAACAGTATTGAGTACGTTAAGGAGACGGGCATCCATAGAAAGTGTTCCCTTATTGACATAAAACGTTTCGGCAGACCTAAGTGTTTCTGCGGATAGCCAGTTAGAGTAATTGAGGACTAGTTGTCTAATAGACCATGATATATTACTTCCTGATAGGTCACCGGACATGAACATATCACCTGCACATCTGATCAGATATATACTATCACACGGTAATGTCTGGGCTGCCTTGAGTATTAGACTCGATAATAAATTTCGAGGGAAGGATACATCCTCAATGAATAAACTTTTACCATTGTGTGCACTTAGCATATGGCTTGTGAGCTGAGACCGTAACAAATTGGGTTTGATCGCTACATTAATCGCGTCCTCAGCCGGTCGCTCTTTCTCTTCATCTAAAAACGTAATGTCCCTATATTGTAACATCACCTTCTTTAATGCCATTATACTTGTAAGGGAAGAACCTACTATAGACACATACTTAACGAATGGCAATGATTGTAAAGTAGAGATCAGACGTGCAGCACTCCTGTCATCAAACGCATTGTACTGTAACAGTATATGTAACGTACGAATTATCATTATATTCATTCGTGGCATGTCCACAACTCTAGACCCCGCATCCCCATGGCTAGATGACCGCGACTTCTCCGAGGAAGATAACCGTCGTCGCGACCGCTCCGAGGGTGCCTGTGCTGTCGCCACCTGTGCTGTGGCCATGTCCAATAGGTTCTCTTTGGACTTAGCCAGTCCGTCACAGAAACCGTCAACGAATTTGGTGCCGAACGCGTTGCTTTGAAGATCCAGCAGGCTTAGCCGGTATCGTGTTCGAAGCAACAAATCAGCAACACCTTCACCCATGGCCGTCGAGTCGGCGAAACCACAATCGGATAAATCCAAGGACTCTAATGGCTCGAGATGCGCTAGACACTGCATCAGTCTCTTCGGGTTCATTCTGGCCAGCGACGGGTTCTTCGATAATGTCCAACATGCCAGTGTGCGCGACAATGTACCCGCTCTGGCCGCAATTTTTTCCACCATCTCTTCATCCACATTGCAGCAACGCAAGTTCACGTGCGATATACTCCGCTCCACACGCAACGACGTATCATAACCCGGACCGATTACTGGTATGCCTGCGGCGCCAATGCTGTAACCACTAGATCTTCGATCACCCGATCTACGAGATACCGCGCTTCGGGACGGGACTGCGCTTCGGGACGGGACTGCGCTTCGGGACGGGACTGCGCTTCGGGACGGGACTGCGCTTTGGGACGGGGCAGCGGAACGTCGAGGAGGGAGGTACTCACTCGCACGTCCGCCTCGGTCAGTCTTGTCGAAACGTTCGTTGTTTGCTAACTCGAGATCTGTGAGTATCTGAAGCACTTCATCAAAAATCATCTTGTTCGAACTGAAGTCCAACGTCGTGCTATACAGATTCGTTAACGCCGTCTCCACCGCCGGCCATGCTGCCTGTCCGTACAGTCGGTCCATGCGACCTACATGCTTCGAATATGTCGAACCGTAAGCCAAAGCCTGCAGCCAACGACGCATCGTCAACATGGTACCAGAAACGAACCGAAATTTCCGGAGATTTGTTTGACCCCTTTTCGACAACATCATGTCACAAATGTCCGTCGCAGAAATCTCAACCTGGTATTGACTCAACGTAGTGTAACGACGGATCATGCTAAAACCCGAGGCTGCCGTCGGCGTACCCGGATTGAGCGCATTTGATAACACGTTTGTAACACCCGTTGCCAACCGCCTCATTAACGAATGGCCGTAATGCCTTTTGAAACAAGCATTAATCGACTCGGGGGTAATTTGCAACAAATTTACAGCTATCGTATGGTCATGAAGAAACGAATAGCATGCCAGCAACTGTACAAACCGCCGGTCAGGGATCTCCGGGAACTCCGGAAATGTGCCCGTCGGTGCAGCACTGCCTTCTATCGCCGTTTGGATATTAAAGAGCGCCAAACAAGTTTCATAGCACACTGCCCAAACAAACCCCTGTTCGCACACGTGTGTGTCCTGCCGGATAAGGCCTTGGTACAAAATTCTGCCCGTCAGCATTTGATCTAGCCATCCGTCAGAGCGGGTAGCCTTACTGTGGTTTTCATACGGAGCATATTCCACGTCAAAGGGCTGCTGCAACGCTTCGTTCAGAGCATTATGTATTCGCGACTTCTGGTCGTGTTCCTTGTCTGCAAGCAACAATTTCCGAATCACCTTCGGATCACCGAAATCTGGCTGTTCCTCCGTATCGTCGTACTCACGATCGGTATCACTCCAGCTAACCACGGGCCAGTATTCCTTTTGCAATTCGTAGATACTATCAATATATTTCAAATACGTTCGATCTTTACAATTCTTGCAGCTCAACGCAAGCAACTGCTCGTAACGAACAACGGGCATGACTTTATTGTGCAACCAGTCACCGAAGGTGTCATAGTGGCTCTCCTGTTCCGCAGTAAGCCCGTCTCGTTTCACCACCGGTAATTCTACTCCTTCTTCTTCCTCATCTTCCGTTCGCTGAGCCTTCTCTGCGGGTATCAGTCGGGCATCCTCCAGGGTCGGGGTGGGTGTCTCCCCGGCCTCAAACCCAGGTCCTGAAGGTCCAGAGAGTCCCTCGGTTTTACCAATGATGTCGCCCGTTGGCGCGGTGACGGTGAGTGTAGGTATCTGAACAACGTCTACGCCTCGGGTGAGTAGTTCGTTTTGCAGGTCAAGATCGTGTGCTAGTCTCTCTCGTTCTTTACGATCCGCTTCACGTTTTTTTTTTTCACGCAGTCTCTGAAAATGCGTTTGCCGGGTGCGATCGAAGTCCTTAACCACGTTGAGCAGTAGGCTCTCGTCCAGCGGTAGGCCGGGGTGTGTGAAACGCAGATCGCCGGCGGGGTTGACACCTTCTTCACGGAACGACAACCATACGCGCGGGTCCACCTCCTGTGCACGCGCATTCGTCGTGTATCGAAATAATGGCGCGTGTTCCGCCGTCGGACGCACACGACGATGCAGTCCGCCTTCACCGCGGCCCTCACCCGTTTCTAACGCGCGCTCCGAAATGCAATCGAACACACCCCTCATCGTCTCCGCCCCAGTGTCGCTTCGCTGCACCACCTGTCCCACCAACAACTCCTCCACCCGATCAATCGCCTCGTACGCAGCCGGGTTATCTAACGACACCTCTACCGACTTCTTTAACTTCTCACCCAACCGCTGATGCAAGTCCTCCTCCACACTCCCCCTTCCACCACCATCCCCCAGACCACCAGGAGTACTCACACCACCACCGGAGGTCACGCCACTACCCCCCGAGACATTTCTCGAACCGTTTCGTGAGACGACCCGGCGTGTGCGGCGGGGTGTAAGATGATCAAGCATTGCCAATAGCCGATCGGGAATCGGGAGGTCCACGGTCTCACCGTCGACGGTAGAGCGAAAATTCTCCTCACGGATCTGGTCACCGAGAGCGTCCAATTCCCGGAGACGCACTTTGGGCACACGGCCGACCTCATCGTCCATGCCTTCTTCGATCGCGCGGATCGCAGCCTGCGGGTACATAGCACTCATCTTCCCAAATTCAGGCACACGCAACCTCTCCTCCATCGTCGCCACGGCGTCCAGCACCTCTAGCTCCGGCACAGGCACGCGCGTAGCCGTCATCGCGTCCTCCTCCTCCGCCTGCTCATCCACGAATTCGAGCCCCAACGGAGTCGCGGCCGCGTGCATCACACGGAACGCCTCCTCCATAACTGCCGACGCGTCTCCCGCCTTTTCTCCAGGACGAGACCCTGGCCCCGTAAAGGGCGACTCACCCGGCCCCGGCGGCAGAAAGCCACCGCCGGATGGGGCGGCGAAGCCGCTCCCACCGGCGGCGTCTTCAGCCGCCATGTCGAAAACAAGTTCCTCGGGCACGAGCAAGCCGTAGCTGGGACGCAATGCCTCCAGGAGTTCTTCGAGTTGTTGGGTGGGCGCTGGTTGCCGTTTCTGCCAGTTCACGGCGAGCCCTTCGTCGGCCATGCCGCCGCCGGTACCGGGCAAGACTTGGTGCGCCACTGCGGCTGCGCGCTTGTCGTCCGCCACTTCGGTCGAGACGCAAAACGTTTCGAGTGTGCTGCCAACTGCCGGTGAGCGTCTACGCCTTACCGGGTCCGCGGCACTCGTAATCAACGCGTTCCCTGCGTCATATAGCAACCCAAATTCATCGCCTTGACGCCAACCCCCGGCCACCGTCTCCGTCGCGTCCGGAGTGGCTAGACCGTCCAGACTCCGACTGCGGTCCAGACTCCGACTGCGGTCCAGACTCCGACTGCGGTCCAGGGCCGCCGGACCCTCTAAGGCGACGTCACGGTCGCCTCGTTGGAGCGAGCCACTGCGGCGGACGGTGTCACTGCCGGTGCCGGTACCGGCGGTCCCCAATTCGAGAGAGGCGCGGCGGCCGTCGAGAGAGGCGCGGCGGCCGTCGAGAGAGGCGCGGCGATTGGGTAGTTCGCCGGAGAAGCTGCGGCGCGAGAAGTCTTGGGAAGACTGCTGGCGCATCAGAGAGGGCGAAGGGGAGACGTCTGGATCTGCACGATGTGCGCTGAGTTCGTGCAACAGCGACTCTTGAGTGTGTGCGCCCGTCATTGTGTCGATCCCTCGCCAGCCTTCGTACACGGGGAGATTACGCCGCGCCGCGGTGCGCAGATGCGCCTGTTCCTGTCGACGGGCCAACATCTCACGGTATTGCGGCGGCGCCAGGATGCTGATGGTGCTCTTCCGTACCTCCGTCCGTCCGCCAGGTCCTGGCATCCCAGACAATACACCGGTTGCGCTCGGAACCTCCAACGGCGCACTCCCGCGGCGACCTGACAGGGTAGTCGATCGCCCACCCCCAGCCGGACCCGCGGCTGCTAGCTTGGTCCCGGCTACGGCCGCCGGCGGTACCGCCAGCGGCGCAACCGAAAGCGAGTTGCGCCCCGGTGCCAGTCGTTCGTTCGCCCCCGCAGCCCCCATCCCCACGGCCCTGGTCTCCGAGTGCTTTGCATCCGTTGTGGTCGCAAGACCCGCCATTTTGAACCCAGGTACTTGCCCTCCGTGATCGTTCAGCCCGGTAAGATTGCGTCCTGGCCCTCGTTCATTCCGTCCCGGTTCGTTCCGTCCTGGTTCGTTCCGTCCTGGTTCGTTCCGTCCTGGTTCGATGTTTGCGACGGAGAGTCTGCTCTTTGTGGCATTGCTCTTTGTGGCATTGCTCTTTGTGGCATTGCCCTTTGTGGGAGCGGGAGGGGGGTCTTTTAGGGCTCGCATTTTTAAATGTTTAGGACGTTGCCGCCGGAGGAAGAGGATGAGTCGTCGTCGTCATCATCCGCGACCTCGGTGATGGCGGCGACCGCATTGCTGCCTCCCGCTGCCACGACCAAGAGATCGCGGCCGGCTGTGGAAGGCGGCCGGCGCAGAGGCAGCGAGGATCTACCCCACTGGGCGACAGATAGGCCCCCGCGGTCGCCGTTCGAGTCCCGGCTCCTGGAGGGAGGAGAGGTGTCGGAGGGAGAGGTGGTGGAGGGAGATGTGCGCACCCCACGGGTGAGGTCTTCTAGGGCGTTCAGTTCGCGGTCGCCAGAGGCTGTGGGTTCGCCGGAAGCTGTGGGTTCGCCGGAAGCTGCGGGTTCGCCGGAAGCTGCGGGTTCGCCGGAAGCTGCGGGTTCGCCGGAAGCTGCGGGTTCGCCGCCGCCGCACACGCGCGTGGGGGCGTCGAGGGCGGGTCTGCAGGTCCCCGTTGTACGTGGCGAGGCGGCGGCGGCAGCATTGGAGCGCGAAACGGCGATCGCGGCGTCGTTGCTCGTGCCCAACGCGGTGTTGAAGAAATCGCTGGAGCGGCCGCGGCCGTTGTTGCCGGGTCAGTGGGATCGGCGTTATGAACTCGGTCAGACAGACTTGGTTTCGCGGCCGCCCTCGTCGGCCTTCTCGCCCGTCTCACACCCTCCTATATCAAGCCTGTCGCTGCTCGCCGGCTACGAAGACGACGACAGTAGCAGCACCGAGGGACGGAATTCAGGCCGGGACGAAAGGAACACGCACTCGGAAGCCGTTCGCAGCAAGCCCGAACTCCGGCTGCCTGAATACAACGCCCAGGGGGACCCAACCCTAGGCGCAGACGGCACCCCCGCGCGTAATGACAGCACATCACAGAGTGACGAGGCTGCACCGATTGGAGGACAACCGCGGACGGTGCTCCATGGTAGAGACCTCGCCAACGCTAACTGGCAATATGATCCAGACCTGGTCACCTGGCACAAGCCAAACAGGTCTAGTCAATTCGATCGACTGAGCAAGAGCAGACACCAGGTAAGCGTGCACCGCCAAGGTCGCAGACCGGGCCACACACTACTGGGAACACAGAACCGGGAGACACAGTACTGGGAACACAGACACAGTACTGGGAACACAGACACAGGTGGGACGGAGAACACCTGGTCGGAGGCCTACGGACAAGCCGGGTGGGTTATGGACAAGCCGGGTGGGTTATGGACAAGCCGGGTGGGTTATGTACAGGACGACGAGTATGTGATGGTAGTTAACATATTTGGGTGCGGTGGCTGAGGGCATGGGAGACAATGTGCGCGAAGCTAGCGTTCGAGGTCGACAGGAGCAGCGGGCAGTTCGTGACCGTTACGGTTGGTAAAAAAATTAATAGAGGCAGAACTGTTTTTTGGCAGCGCCAAAGATCTGTTTGGGCTCGACGTTAAGGACATTGAAGGACACGGTCTTGGAGATGGGTCTGCACTCACCGATGGTGACAATATCGCCTTCCTTGTATTCGAAGCAGGGAGAAATATGGGCGTTAAGGTTGGTGTGTCTCTTCTCGAACCTGTTATACTTGGGGATGTAGTGAAGGTAGTGACGTCTGATGACCACAGTCCTCTTCATCTTAGCGGACACAATCATGCCCTTCAGGATGCGTCCACGGATGGCAACATGGCCGGTGAACGGACACTTGTTATCGATGTAAGTGCCCTCCTGAGCCGCACGCGGGATAGTGAAGCCCATACCCACTTGGTGCACAACGCGTTTCTTCTGACCCTTTTGGTGCAAGTTCAACAGACTCTTCTTGCCATTGGCGCGCACAATGTGCTGCTTCTGGTAAGCACGCTCGTTCTAAAACACACGCATCAGACAAAGCAACAACCCGGGGGGGGGAGTAACACACGTGTAGTAACACACGTGTAGTAACACACGTGTAGTAACACACGTGTAGTAACACACGCGTGTGGTGGCAGTCTTGCGCACGCGGTGTGGTGGAGAACACCGTCCACAACACCCACCGCATCAGCGAGCAACATGTGAACATGTGTGTCAAACACGCGCGGAAGATGTGCCTTCGCCAACTGTGTTTAGCCTACCTGCTGTTCAAGAGCTCCGACGTGGACAGCCATATTGCAACGGGGGAGTTAAGCTTAAAAAAAACCGAGCGAGACAAAACTAGTCTGGGGCCTTTCTTCACTAGGGGGGCAATTTAACAGGTCTCTGTGCGCGTTTCAGCACACGAAGCTTGCTCTTGTGCTCCGATGGCGCTCATGTCAATAAGACAGATATCAGGGTCCACTCCAGGGTGTATTCTCGTAGTGACTCCATTAAACGGCAAGATAGTTGCCAAGAGCAAGATAGTTGCTACGAGAAA